TAGAAGCATCTCTTTCCAGCTGATCTCTCACTTTTGCATTCCACACGGCTGCCTCAATGTCGCGCCGCTTTCTTTCTCTCACAATATCCTTTCTATTCCAACTTGACCCTGAGCTTGCGTGTCGATAGTCCTCCGAATGTGACAGAACATGAGCGTCTGTCGTCGAAGCAGTATTCCGATTTTGGCTACCATCCCAGCTTAGTGCTGGACTTGAGTCTCTGATGTAGGACGGTCCGGATTCTGATCTGCGAGCATCAATGCTGTTCACAGGGTTGTTGTTGCTTATTGAAAGTGCTCGCTGTGGAGCCTGGGTTAACGAGTTGTACAAGCATTTCGACCGAGCGACACTACTCGCTCCCGCAACATGGTCCTGTGGTGATATCAAGCCGTCGATAGATGGTGGGTTTCTCGCAGATCTATTGGAAACCATACTAGAAGCTCGTGCAGGGTACGCAGAGCGCCGAAACACCGCCGGATTTTGTTTGCCTACTGAGCCTTCATCTCTTGATGGACTTCGCGAGATATGCCATGGTGCTGAGCTGTCATCCAGTAATGGCGTATCAAACTTCGTTGGTAAAATCCCAATATAATCATGGACTTTGTCCGTTAGACTATTGGTTGGCTTGTGCGGCGGTAACGGAGGAGGGCGGTGTCCCCGGGAGTTCAAATATGGCGCTCGAGATTTAGTAGCAACCAAACCGGTATCTGACTCAAATACCTCCGCCACGGGCCGCAAAACGGTAACAACGCCCTTTTCATTCCTGAACGTTCTGATGGGTCCTTTGCTTGGTGTTCCAATTTGCGTGTCGTGAGTGAAGACAGGATACTGGGACCGGATCTCCAACCCATACGGAGTTGCCTCGATTGGAATCGAGATGGCAATGTGCCTATGCCCTCCACTGGTGACGCCTACCACTGCCGAGTCTGGCAGTTGGATGTTTTGTGGCTGTTTGGGCGTGGATTTGCTCCTTCTTCCTATTTTCTTGATTTTGGACCATCTTCCGCGGCCATGCCCCTCATCTCCGTATGGTATCGACATGAAGTTATCCGGCGGCGGCGGATGATTCTTCAGAAAATCTACTAGAGCAGCCACGTCATCTCTGGCTCGACGAGCACGAAGTCTCTCCCCCAGCAACATTGTGTCGTGTAAGTCGCCAGCGTAGAGGTTGCTGCTGACGCTCTGAAACTGGAACTCTGAGCAAGGTTGCTCCAACTTCCTCTCAGCACGATGATGCGCTTCCGTGCCAGTATGGCTTCGGCAACGGGAGTAGAGAGGGTTAGAACCCAGATGTGACAGAGAAGAGTCGGCGTCATCTCTTGATGACAGTATAAATCTCCTGCCGAGTGAGACTGGATACGTCATGGCGACTACCTAATATAAGAGGAAAAGCTATTCGTCAACAACACCAGTTCCTGATATTGGTAGCCTGCCCTTGCATGTATGTAAGAAGGAGTCGGTCAGTTTCGAGGCGCAAAACGGAACGAAAAGCAGTGGCTGGAGTCTGAACAAATAATAACACTTGCTTCAGATCTTTTACTGGACACTGCTTAAGACAGGCATATGTCTGTGTTGCTGCAAGGCGTGAACCAAGGCCGTGTCTCACTGGAAGCCTTCTCGACACAGAAACAAGCTGACGGGCTGGATACGGATCGGCGAGAAGTCCCGAGTTCTCAATTCTAGGGAATTGACCGAATAGAGACTAAACAAAAGGAAAATATTACAGACCGGCGCCAAGATTGACTGTCAAATTTGGGAACAGGCTCCGAATCGGCTTCAAGGGAAAGACAAGAAGAGGAGGGAAGGGGCCCATAGGACGGGCACAAAGAAAAAATATCGATATGATGCAGAAGAGGAGAAAGAAGGTTCCAGTTGAATACATCGGATAGAAAGGAAAATCTCAAATAAACGACTTCGTCAAGAGAAACTTGAAAGGAGAAGCCGGGCAAGAGACCGGCAATTCCAACGGCCCCCGAGCCGACGAAGAAGAGCTTAAACTTTTGGAATCCTTGTTAAGGCATTGGGGAACCGGTTCTCGCAACTCTTTGCTCTCTTCACGATTTACAGCTCGGGAGGCCAACAGCGTATGTAGGTGGTATCCGGCAGGGTGGTAACGACTGGGGTCCCTTGGATCGTTTATAAACAAGCGACTGGACGGCCAACTTCTTTGTTAATGAAACAGAGCCGTCCTTGGCTGTGGTCTCTTGTCCTTTCGGCGTCACATCCGGGCGACGGTCGTCACTAGCTTTTCTTCCCAGACCGGGGGGCTGGTTGGTGGGCTCATGAACTGACGGACACGGTGCTATCGTCCTTTTTGTTTGTTTTCGAGATGACAATAATACGGAGGAACGCTCATAGCGTGATACTGGGATCCTGGGTTGACAATACAATATTGTCTTCTTCGGTATGCTCAGATGATAAAGTATCCTTGCATCTTGGTCGAGCTCTGACCCTGCGTGACGAGAGCAGCTCTTGCATCTCTGGCCCCAATGGCGGATGGAGGTTCTTCCCATGGCCTTGGGATTTCTGCTCAGAAAAAGAAACACCCGGTCCTAGCGTGACGACGAACCCGCAGCTCTTCTTAGCCCATGGCAGGGATTGGATGACAGGGTCAAGATTGCACGATGGATGACCATCGGGTGAGGTTGAACATTGCCGCGGCCCACTCAACGATGCAAGAGGCGTCGCTCGGCCACCGAGAGACGTAAAATGTGGGTGGACAAAGATGGCAATGGGCAGCGAGAAAATGGAGGCGGCGACCCAGTGACCCAGTGCCCCAGTGCCCCAGTAAGCTGGCTTGCTCTCATATGCAACTAATTACGGAGTACATAAGCTGTCTGGTCGCTTGTTTGTCGACGGGGTCCTAGTCTTGCAGCAGTTAAGCGCACCCAGAGATACTAGTCGATTGCGACCTCGAAATCATCCTCGGATAGCGTACCGCAGCCGGCTCTATGCACAGAGAAGCCGGCGAAAGGCATTGATCAAGGTCCAAGGACACCCTGGACGTTCTCCGAGAGGAGGACGGGGCAACCGAGAGAAGAGAATAAGACTAGCTGCCAAGGCTCGCATGCATAACGGTGTTCTGCGTGCGGTGACATCTGGACATGGAGGAGGTGACGAGGCTGTGATGGCCGCAGCAAACCCCAACAATAAACTGGGCATTCGCCCCTTTGCCGGCGCGCTTGTCCTTGTCGCCAAATGCTCCGGATACCCATTACTAGTACGGAGTACTATATGATTATATCCATACCCTAGTTCTAGCCAGTGCGTCTACTTGTTGATTCCGGTGAGTTGGCCCAAATGTCCAGGGGTCACGTTAAATAATCTCCAACGGCGAACCAGTCGACCCAACAAAAAAATGGGGGCCGCCGTTCTGCGCCCTCCATCACGCCAGCCATGAAAGGAGAGTTGTTTGCTAAGCCGGATAGGATACGGGGTAACATCTCTTCGTCAACTGATGGTGGACTGACCGAAAGCCGCGGAAACCTGTTGAAGCGAGCAAGCAGAATGCATGGGTAGCAAGCCAACGAGGGCAATGGCAGCATTGTACCAAGTATGGCATCAATCGTCCGTCACACCAGACCTTGGGGGCCAGGCGCCACTTCGACGATCGGCATTGGATGTCGCTCCGTTGGCAGCTACGAACCACCCACCACTTGCCCATCACCTCCGGACCTTGGCGTGGAGAGACAGTCCATACATACATACAGTATGTACAACATGTTTCCCTTGCACCTTGTAAGTAACCAATGCAATGCCCAATACCAAGATACTTAAACAAGGAGTACGGGGCCTCATGACAAATCTTTTACAACAGAATTGTCCCAGTTGCCTACCGTGCCCACAAAGCAACCCAGGCAATACCGAGTACATGATAGCCATGTTGTCTGTCATGACAGGGTTCATGACCACGGCAGAGACTCACATTACGTAGCATTACGAACTGCCAGTGCTAGTCACAATGATACGTACAAGTATGCACAACAGGCGAGCAACGCAGCTGCGCATCGCATCGCATCGCATCTGAGATCACCATCAGCAAGGGTTTCTTGCAGCCACGAAAACCTGGGGCGCTCAGGGGTTTCGCCATCGGTGCCTTTCCATCGTCACGGTGACTGCCGTTGTATGTACGACTTCCCCTGGTGAACAATTTCGTAGTGTTTTAAATTTCGGGAGAGAATCTGAACAAGGGCGGGTGCCCGAATTCTCCCTGGTCCAAAACCCAACCTCCATGTCTCTGCCTAGAGAAGCAAGCAGGAGCCAATCTGAGACATGGATACGGCTGTCGTTGGCTGAGACATTTCATGCTTCCTCCTTGCGGCATTGTCCAAACAAGAATCAGTTACTACTACGTAAGAACTACGAACGGAGTACCTTTCCATACATAATACGAGGTAACTTGGGTAGTTACGGAGTAGGTACTACTGGGTAGATCGGAATGCATGTTAGCTAGCACCCAGGAAAAGGGGATGTCTACCTAGCACAAATGCACACCATTGTGTTCAAGTGAGTATCGCAGCGAAACAACTATTTCCCGGTGTCAATCCTTCGTGGAATAGCCGCATCATCAGCCATTATCAAAATTTGGCTGGTCGTTCTCATCCATCCCCATCAAAATCTTCTATTTTCAATACCCGAGAAGCCTACTGAACCCATCTCTACGTGCGCTCCCTATTCAAATCTAACCCTTAATGAATGCGCCACATGTGCATATCACATGGCATCATCAAGAGGGAAAAAACGCCTATACAATGCTCCCCACCCGTCTATGTTATGCGCCTTCGCAATGCTAATGTGTTATCCCACTTTCATTGAAAGAAAGCAAAATATTCTTCATCTCCTTCGACATCACCTCTTTTTGGGCATAAATAAACTTGGTTTCGCCTTCTTCCGTGGCGCCGTTGGTATAGGCTTATTCATCGACTATTTCGCAATCGTGAGCTACGTTTCCAAGACAACAGTGATATCCGCCTCAAAACGCACCTTTGTACCAGTCACGGAGCTACTTGGTTGACCCGATGTCGACATCGACCCATTCGGTGCCTGATTCATCGGAATCGCTTTCGAATTCATCGCTGGAGGAGGGGGTCGTTCCGGGGGTACCATCCCGAGGACTGACATTGCCGACGGATCCTTGGGCGGTGGCGGCGGCGGCTTCGTCTGTTTGACAGGCTTCTGTCCGAATTTGCCCATCAGGCCGCCTCGCTGCGTACTCGCAATCTGCTGTGGTATTAGAAATCTGTGCTTGGTTGCTGGTTGTTTGGACTGCCACTGATATGCCACATACTCTCTTTGCTGCTTGCTGTCCAGGCTCTGACCCGTCCAGCGGTCGCTTCTTTGGCTCAGAAGCTTGGTTGTCTGAAGTGTGTATCACGGGCAGACCCGCTCCGCGTGGAACAACATTCGGTATACTGCCGTCAGTAGTCTTTCGGGATTGGTTTTCGTTGCTCAAGGCCGGCAGATCACTGGATGGTCCTGATTTGATATTCTTCACACCATCCATGATAGGTTTTGCAACAGGGGAGTCGAGCATCTCAATATCTTTGGGAGATTCCTTTTGAGGCGCTTGGTAGGTTGACGGGCTTGCTCTTCGTAAAGGTTGTCTGAACATGCCTAGTATATCGCCCTTTGTGTATCTGTCTCTGGCTTTGGCATCTTCAATCAATTTCTTCCAGAACTCACCCTGAACCAATGCTCTAGAGTCTCCTAGAATCCACAGTGATGATTTGGCACGAGTCAAACCAACATTCATACGGCGAATATCCGTCATAAAACCAATACCTCCCGTTGAGCTGGCTCGTACGCAGGAGAATATGATAATTTCACATTCTCGACCTTGAAAGGCGTCTGTAGTGTTGAATTCGATGATATCAGTGATATTCTCGCCGTATCGACTTGTAAAACGATTCCTCAGCTCAAACAATTGAGCTTTATATGGGGTAATGATGCCAATCTTGCCTGTAAGATCACATTGCTTGTACTCTTTGCTGAAACGGTCATACATCTCCATGGCAACTTGCAGTTCTCTAGTGTTAACCAGTGATTGACCTTTTCTGCCTTTTTCTTGAACACCCTCCACATCAAAGAACCGATAAGGGCCAAGGAGAGCACTCTGATGCCAGGGCTGGTGTCGAAGCTGCAGCATGTCTTGCCCGTCTTGGAGCTGTCCTTCGTAGAATTCTTTGCTGGGAAACATGCTGATCTCTGGATGCATTCGGTATTGCATATCGAGTAGATGGACAGACTTGGGATGGTTCTGTTGCATTCGAACGAACAAACTCTGGTCGTAGCCAAAACGTGCAGCAGACTGAGACAAAACGGTTGGAGGAAGCTGCTTGGGGTCACCCACAAGTATACATTTGCAGCATCCATATTTGAGTGGAATCAAGGCGCTGAGCTCGACACATTGAGCAGCTTCATCGATAATAACGGTTTCAAACTCAACATCCAAGTTGCGGAACATTTCATGTCCACTACCACTAAGTGTTGCACAAAGCACATGAGCAGAGTTGAGGATTTCCTGCTGAACTTGTCTGCGACGCATCTCCATCTCTCGAGCAAGGGAATTGCCGCTATCCTTGTTTGCGTCGATTTGTTTACCAATGTTCATTTGCTGCCGCTTTAGCTCGTCAAATTTTCGGGAGAGGGTGTTTTGTGTGATACGATTATCCTGTGCACGAGCTTCATCAAGGAGCTGTCTAATTTCTGCAAGCTCTTCCCTGATTTTCGCCGCGTCTCCGTGAAGCTTGTCCCTTTCGGCTTTGGCTTTGTCCTTGGTATTGTCACCCTCCATTCGATTTCGGACAAGTTCGTCGAGCGTGACATCCTTGACGGCAGCATTAATAGCATCGCTCCTGCCGAGACGAAGTACATTGATAGGCTTCGTCTTTCCACTGCTAGTCTTGACACCACTCTTTAGACGAAGTACTAATTCATCAACAGCTGCGTTACTGGGAGCGCAGACAAGAAGTTTTTTCGGGCGGCCTTGACCAGCAGGTATGGCACCAGCCAAAGGGCGCAGTGGAGCGCCCATAGGCACGCCGTTCGAGGCTTGGGCAAGCTGTTCTGAGAGTAATGACCCAACCATTGCAGTAATAGTTTTGGTCTTGCCAGTTCCAGGCGGTCCTTGGATAAGTGTGAAGCCATCGTTATCTTGAGCCCCCAGTACCGCCACAGCCTGACCATGGTTAAGAGTCCAATTTTGCATGGTATTCGAAATCTTTTCCTCCCCGTATCGAAGAATCGGTGACGGTTCAGCTTTCAAGATTTCATCCATGAGATCGTAATACTGTAGACTTTCCAGCGCAGCATATTCTCGTTCGATGGTAGTCATATTCGTTATCTTGACGCCATAGACAGTGACTCCAGGCATTAACAAGGTCGATAGTTGGTTGTTACGTGATGCGACACGGTATGTAATTTCGATGAGATCCTTCTTGTACGTGATTCGGTGAACTCTAGCCAGACAGTGTCTTGAGACAGGGTTTTGGAGAGGGCTCTCGGCTTCGGAGACCAAGAGAATATCTCCTTCTGAGACTCCCCTTTCACGATTTTGAACAACAGGTAAAGTGAAGGCTACTTCCAAAAAGCTGTCAACACTTGCCCTGCTTGCAAGTTTCATGCCGAAGGGCTGAGCCGTTATCTCATCCTTTGCGGTCACGAAAGAACGCCAGGCCTCGGAAGCAAGCAAAGGAAAGAACGTTGCTTGATACGACCGCGGATCGGGATACTTTGTAGCAACCTCGGAGGCAGCCGGACCATTAGGAGGGTCGTTGCCTTGGTGAAAAATGTCCCATGCTAGAATGGTGTTGTGAAGTCTATCCATAGGAGGGATCAAGCGAGCTCTCATTTCCTTAACTGAACGCTGCTGTCGAATCTTCTTGACCGGCCTGCGCAGTCGATCTCGCAGAGCCTGCTGCCGACGTTTTTCATGTTCGTCAAGACCCTTCTGGCCGCCAGTGCTCAATGTTGCAAGCTGCCCGTCCGAGTCAGAATCTGCACTATCATCGTCTGATTCCTCATCAGAGCTGTTAACCATGATTTCACTTCTTGCATTTTCTTTGCCTGTTGATGCAAGACTCTGGGCTCCAGATCCTTCTCCTGGGACAAGTTCTCCCCGAATCTTCTTGGCTCTGGCAATAGCCTCAGCATCTCTCTTGGCTTTCTCAGCCCTTTCTCTCTGTCTGCTCTCCTTAAGTGCCGAAATAGCCTTCATGTCGGGACCCTTGGACTTAGACTTTGCTTGCTGTGCCGCAAGCTGCTTTAGAATTGGACTGTCAGCAGATCTGCTAAATTCCAGGACGTCATCTCTATTGGACCTCCCAAGCTTATCGGAAGGAGTCCCAGGAGGGGCTGACTTGGACCAAGCATCCAGCTTGCTCTGCTTCTTAGACCTTTCCTTGTCTAAAGCAGTTGTCCGATCTACCACACTGGTAGTAGGCCCAAGTTGTATTATTTGAACTTCTTCATCATGGCCGAGGGCTTGAAGCAATTCAGCCCGTTGTTGGTCTGTCAAATTCGTTGAGCGAAGGTACTTTCCGGTAGTCCCAGTAGGAATGCAGGCGTCCGTGATGAGCTTTCGTGACCCGGCATTGATTTCCAGTTTATTTTCCCGAAGTCTAGTCAAGATCTTGCCGAGCACTCGAACGGTAACGTCAACTAACCATCTATCCTTCAATCGAATCATGTTTTCCATTCCCCGAAAGTTCTCTTTCGCCGGGCCCAGAATAATTGGCATCACGTCCTGTTCACTTTTGCCCAAAGCAGTAGCAGAAGTGAGAAGGCCGTCTTCTGCAATAAGAGCTTCGGCTAGTTCCATAATTTCTCGACAGAACTCGGTCATAATCGCGTTTGAAATGCAAAATGACCAAGATTCTATATTGAGACAGGACTTTGAAACGAATCTCCACTGCTCATTCCACCAGCGTAACACTACAGCGACGGATTTTGAGTTGAGAGTCTTTGTTCTGAGGACACCCGAGGTCGGGTCGGACAATCCCCTGAGAACGTCCCTGCTCATATTGAGCAGCGGACGGATAGGCCCCCAAGGAAATGGTGGTTTAAGAACTCTCTCCAGTGTCCAGACGATAGAAGATAGAGTTTGTTCCGGATGTAGTTGAGACATGTGTTCTATGGCACCACTCCGCGATAATTCACCGGTCCAGCTTTTGAGGATCTCCGCTGAGCCTTCCGCCAGGTTAGAATCGTCGTGGACGGATAACCCTACAATAACCTGAAAGGGCAATCGATCTGCAAACAGGAGATTCAAATCGGTGGCGTCCACTTCCGAAACTCGACCCAATATTCTCGCCAGCACATCGGCAATGCTACCGAGTGATGTGTTGAATCGCTGGCTAGACTCATCCAGTTTGTTGATGCTTTTGCGTGGCCGTATTTGTTCGACTGAGATGAGAGGACCAAGGGACACTAAGACATCCTTTGCCAGCGTCACTTGATCCCCCGACGAGTCGAATGTTTCGACAATGGTTTCCCAAAATGTCTTTGACTCACGGAGAATTGTTGATTGAAGTTGCTTTTTGTTGTGAATAGCCTGGAACTCCTCCAAAAACATCTTCATATCCAATTTCATAGCGGCATGTAGAACTGACCTGGCCGCGTCGGAGACTCTGAAAGTCGTCCAGCCCTCTCGTGAATCTTGTGGTGGCCGCAGGCTTTCCAATATGAGGTCCTTGTTCTTTACCACTAGATTAAAAGCGCCACCCGCGTATAAATGAGTCGTGCCGGATGCTGTCTGTGTATCGGGATCTAGAAAGGACTTCAGGGTGAAATTTATGGCGTCAAAGCCAGCACGAATACATGCGGCTTGCCCCGGTTCACCAATGAATGGATCTTTTGCCAGAGTCGCAAACAGTGTGTGCATGAGGACTTCACAAGCATCATATCTACGGTCTCGACCCAAAGACATAAGCCAAGGTTGAATCCAGGATGTAGGAAAAGGTACAACATCAGAATCCATGCTGAACCCACTCCAGCAGTCGTCAAGAGATTGGCGAAGCAAAACCTTGTAAACAGGACTAGCAAAGAGCAGGTCGGCAATTACGTTTGGCCGAGCATCACCGATTACATCCCAAAAGGCTTTTGGGTAATCTTTTAAGAAGATTGTCAGTACTCGAATCGTCACAACCAGCATACCTTCCGAAGGACAGGTCTGAATGTGACGGAATAATAGGTCGTAAATGCTTGAGCCTTGGCGCAGTTCCAGACTGCGGAGGCGGCTGTGAATAAGATTCTCTGGCAGCTTGGTCAAAATTATTTCAAACCCTTCCCAGAAACGCTCGATAGCCAGTCGTTCTTCATCCGAGAACTGAGGAGTCACCTGAATTCTGGCAATGTCATCTATCGCACTGGTCAATCCGTTGCTCACGGCCCAGTCAAACTGGGCCTCCGTCATCGATTTAGAGTCGATGAATTTCCAGTTTTCTTGTGCCCATTTTCGACGGTCATCATTCTTCTGATCAAATAAAAAGTATGTCATGCCAGGGAGTGGATCGCTTCGCCCCAGCTTGAGATAACTCTTGCCCTGCAACCGCATGAAGACGTACTGAAAAATGGCGCGCTGGTCAGGTGTTGACATGAACGGCATGCAGCAAAGAGCCTCGTAGACAGCAATAAGAACTTCTGGCAGCTTCTCTCCCAACTGCGTCTTTTTGAAAACATCTCCCCTTTCCTCGATTTTGCCGATGTATTCTTTCGCCCACTGAAGATTGCAACTAATTCTGGCGATATCGATTCGATTCAGCATTTGTTCGATGTGCTCGATGACTTGTTCGTTCCATTTTCTGCGCTTGGTCAGCAGGCCCTCTATAAAAAAAAATAAGGATTGGTAGCGTACTCAGAAAATCTTTGCAGATAGACCTGGCGTTGCATGTGCCAGTTGAGGACGCATTCAGAGCAACTCCTCAGCACATGCTCGAGTCTATCTTTGAACTCCTCTGCCCATTTCCCTGCGTCGCTTTTATCAAATCCAAATATCAGGCTATTCCAGTACGTGATTTCGATGCGGTGATGGCCATCCTCGATCCGCTGTTTTTTGTCTTCGACGGTGATTTGGGATTCAGGGTCATCAAAGGTTTTGTAATTTTCGCGATCGTCGGAGTCGATCTTCGGGCAGAGTAGATGGCAATCATGGGGGAGCTTCTGTAGTTCCTCGTACCATTTTGCCAGTTCCTCATTAAGATCCGACATGTTGGCGTTGGAGTCTCGTGCTCATCCCCAAACATCTGCCTAGCAAGTGGAGGACCGCCAGGTCACTATCCAGGCTCGTAGGCAGATGTAGGAGCCTTGAGTAAAGGTGTTTCGCAGTGTTCAGGTAGACTACGGAGGTGATGGATTGAGGATACAGCAGAAGAGGTTGAGGTTGTGAGAGGTAGAGAGTTCCAGGTACTGAGGAAATCGAAATTGGTTTAGACGGAAGCCAGCTAGCTTCCAGGCCCTGCAGCCCTCTTCAACAACATGCAGCAATTCAGCCGCTATAAAGGCAGCCCAATCACGGCTGTCAGGGATTGAGAGATGAGCCACGTCGGCGATGCGTGGAACATTAAGTTGAAAGGCGCGGGCGCGGAGAAGCAGGGAGCCAAATGGGACCACGAATCAATTGATGGCTGAACTTTTTTTTTTGCCCACCTGGACAACTCCACGCGTTAAGTGAATGCGAGATAGCGCGTTTTGAAAGCGGAAGGAGCACTGACTGCTGGTAGAGCAAGTTTAATGTGGCCCGTGCACACCCGCCCTGTCACTGTTCCAGCCTGTGTCCTTGTTCTTCCAGGTCAATGGGGCTCTTCGTCTACTTGGACATCGAACATTGTCAGTACATATGTATATTCTGACTTAGGTACCTAGGTAGGTAGGATGACGTTTGATGCCACGTGCAGGCTTTTAGAAGTTGTCAGACGCATACGCATCACCTTCAATGTGAGATGATGGCGCTGGGGAGGTTGACATTCTTCAGTGATTCCTTCTGTTGACCTCATATCAGAAAGCCCTGCAGAATCCGCAGAACCTACTTGAGTAGCTAATACTCGACTATTCTTGATAGACTGGATTCCGAGACGCATCCAGGCTCATGAGTGAGATTGCTATTATGTCGCCTACTACATGCATTTCAACAACTCTGTACCTACCTAGTAGGTACAGAGGCGCTGTGTCTTTAAATCAAAACTACCATTACCTTGGAGATGTGATAGTGACATCTAAATGGCGATTTGCAAAACGGTATCCCGCTCACCTTGGCTCTCCTTGCCCAGGTGGTACTAGCTGATGCGGCATCGCAACTCCCATCCCAAAAGTGAGGGCATTCTGAGCTGAGAGTGAGAGTTCTTTCGATTAGAGCTTTACTGTCGGCCCATTATGCAAACGGCCAACGGCTATCGTCACATGCAAGGAGCCAGATGGACAGTTGAATTTACATAAACTCACATCTTTCTCCCCCCAAGTATTACAAGGCTGGATGCATGTCTTCTTCACGACATGGGAAATCCTCGTCTAAACATCAACACTCAGCTCCCTCTTTACAGTTTCTGTGTCTGGTTCTCATTTGGTTCAACTCGCTGTGCTTATGCCATACCAAGGTGCCCTGCTCCTATAGCCGGGGGTCGCTCAAACTAAGCTTCCTATGGTTCATCGGAGTATACATGACGATAATGGCACCTCCTTCTGTAATATGTCTTGAAGAAGGATCTCGACAGTTGCGCAGCCCCAGTGTTGCGTCATCACGCACGCTTACTTTGGAAGACGATGAATTACAGGGAAGAAATGATGCCCGCATAATAGATTGGATCAACAATGTCGGCAATACTGCACAAACGCAGACTCCTATGCGTACAGCACAACAAAATCCCACCACTCCCGGACAGTCAAGCATTCGGGTTGGAGATGTGATCGAAGTCAAGAATGTCATGATCGGCGATTGCCGAGTAGACTTCATCCAAGTAAAGCACATTTCACGAGCTACTCTATCTGGACGAAAATTTCGAGGTATCCCGCTTACCAGGACACGAAATATGCGAGGACGACTTCCCAAGAAGATGAATGAAGTGTGCATGATGCTGCATTTTCAGCAAGAAAACGGACGCACCCCAGACGACTTTGCATTACTGGTTGATATCAAAGAAGACCATGTTGTGAGAAAGCGAAACCTTATAATTACAAACGCAACATTTCCAGAGCATTCGGTATTGCATGGTCCACAATCCCGCATGTCCATCAGAAGCGGAACCCAAGCCCTCAAGCGTCACATTGAACAGTCGGGTAACCTCTACTGTCGATGGAAATGGATGGTATATCTTATCGATAATCGTGAAGACCAGAAGGTGAAGGAAGAAGTTTTGGAACGGATATCAGCTGAAGAAGTTTTGGATCGCCAATATCTTGTCGACCAAGAGACTCTATGCAATAGATGGAGAGGAGGCCGTACCAGGGGTGGTTCCTGGACACCGGACCAAGGCTCCTGTACTCAGACCGTTGATCTCGCTAATGGTTCGAGTATTCAAGAGGGGAACTTCCGAGGAAGGAACCAGAAATATACCTTTTTTGACGCGTTTTCAGGCGCTGGCGGCGTCTCGAGGGGTGCTCAGAATGCGGGATTCAAGGTTACTCATGCCATCGATAAATCGCCCGATGTGTGGCGAACATACTCTCTTAATTTTCCGGAGGCAAAACTTTACAAATGGTCTGTTGACAGGTTCATTGAGCAAACAAATGATGCGTCCATTCGAGTAGATGTGCTTCACATGTCTCCGCCCTGCCAATACTTTTCTCCAGCACACACAAAAGCTTGTGCCCGCGACTATGACAACATACTAGCGCAGCGTAGCTGCCCTTCGCTTGTGAAAAAGCTGCGACCGAGGCTGATCACCATAGAGCAGACCTTTGGGCTGCTGTTTGATCGACATGGACAACACTTTTACTCGCTTATCGGAGGTCTCACGGAGCTTGGGTACTCTGTTCGATGGAAGATCGTAGCACTATGCACCTGGGGGTTGGCTCAAAATCGCAGACGACTTATATTAATTGCTGCAGGTCCGGGAGAGCAGCTACCAGGCTTTCCTGCGGCGACCCATTCTGAGAATAGCAAAAATGGTTTGCGTCCGTATACCACAATTCGACAAGTTCTTAGCAGAATTCAGGAGGGTGACAACTTGCACAACCTTGGCACCGTCACGCGATTTACCCCTAGGAGACGCGCTTCAAATTTTGACACTTTGCTGGGAACAATTACGGCTCGATCGGGAACTTTGTACTATCCTAACGGAACGCGAAATTTTACTCTGCGAGAATATGCCTGCTTGCAAGGGTTTCCAAAGGCCCATAGATTTCGGGGAACAGCAACCGGCATAAAATCTCAGATAGGGAATGCCTTTCCGCCCATCTGTGTCAAGTATTTATACAAGCATCTGGAAAACTGGTTGCTGCAACAGGACCGTGTTCGATCACATCAGCCCGAGGCGGAGGATGTGGTGATACTTGACGCAGAAGTGCTTGATACTGAGAGCATTGATTCAGACTCGCCAGGAGCAATGAACTTTACCATCGACTTGACCGATGAAGACATATCTGGCCTCCAGACAAGTAATATCACGTCCAGTTCCTTCATGGACCTCACGTGAGATCGTCAAAAGGAGCCTACACGACTGCGCCGCGGTTTTTAAAAGAAAAGAGTTTCGGAACTAGTGATTCAAGATGATGTGGTTTATATTATGAATAGGTATATTGGGTGCCATTCCTGTACATGACGGACAAAACTTGTGACGAGCCTTGAAGGGGCATTCGGAGCGAGAGAGCTGTTGCTGCCTGCCTACTTAGTGCCTAGGTAGGTATTGTAAGAATAGAGAGAGAATTTGGACCAAGTAATCCCAGAACTAATAGATGGGATAGGTGGGTGTGGATGATACAATAAATATTTCGTTTTTTGAGTGCAGTTCTCTCCCTGACCAGTAAGGACCTTGGTCTATGCTGACATGCGGCTAACGATATATATAAAGATCACTTTTAGATTGAATTCAATTAAAGGAAAAGAGAAGGAGAGAAAAGAAATCTTGTCTATAGCGGCTGTGTTTCATAGCCGCACTAGGTACTCTGTATTTACTGTGGTTGGATGAGCTGGTGCCATTGTTCTGAAGCGGAGGTAAAAAGAGCAAGCATGGATTGAAACTTGGCCTTAGGGAAACTTGAAATTCTTGACAAGTTCAGTGACCATTATCGGATACGAGCATACGTACCATTCGGTGCCAAGGTACTTGAGTACATACATGTAGAGCTGGGCAGTTGCTGTCGGCTGGCAGCCAGTTCGCAAACTCTGCTGGCTGCCTTACCTTCCCCCATTCTGGTACACCATTAACATGCCATTTTCTCGCATTTCCATCACCTGTTGCACACCAGGAACATCCAATTTTCTTTGAACCTCTTTCCAAAAGGCCCACTCGGCAACGCTTTTAGAATGTCGCTGACAAGACCTGATATTGAACAGCCACTGTCACTTCAGACAATACCAGACACCGTGAGGCCTTTTTGCAAACCCGTAGGGAGCACGTTCATCTTGGCTAACATCTACTGACGAAGGCACTTGTACCTCTGCACACATTTCCGATTCAGGAAGAATTTGCCTGGCGTCATGAACAAGGTACCGAGATTGAAATGTACAACGAGGAACATTTGCACCGAGTCTTGAATGAAAGGCGGCAGAAATTCAGATGCTGGGTTATTACGCCTTTGAGCAACTTAATTACAGCCTTCACGAAGCCATGGCTATTTCTAGTTCAACCTCCCGAAAACATGGAAACGAGCGGCTTCCCAACCACCACAGACCGTTTCAAGATAGACATGGTTTCAAATGTCAAAAGAGGTGGCGATGAATATTCTCTCGTGCACATACCAGCTACCCGCATCCCCAATCCCTTTGAAACCTGTGAAGCAGTACGAGATACCAGGATCAAAACATATGCAGCATACAAAGTCGACGTGCCACGGTCTTGGACGAATTCGGAAGGAGATCACATTGAGTTGGATTTGATGTCAGAGTTTCAGATATCTTGTAGAGAAAGCGATTTGGACAAAATCTTTCTGGAGGAACACGAACATCGGCTCTTGACCATCGAGTGGGATGTGAACTCAGCCACTTTTGAGGCAGAGCTCGATGCTCTTCATTTCTTCACTGAAGAAAAACGTCTACAGAATAGAGGCCCTACGTT